TTTACACGGATCCGTTCCCTACCCTCTATTGATGAAACATGAAACATGCTAATTGTGAGTAGAGCTTTGACCACCCGTGAATATACTAAAAGTCGTGGATTATCAAACAGGCAATATCAATATTCTGCAGCACTGAGACCTCATAAAGTTTGGAATCTAACTGTTTCAGGAAAAACTAAGTCTTCATTTGTGCTTTTGAACGTTACTTGTTTGAATAAGGTAAATTACTGGTCTCTCTTTTACCTGTCGCAGGGCGTGTAGTGTTATGGCAGGTTCCGTCCCGGTATGTTTTAGAGCGTTGTTAACTTGTTTAGATAATTTATAACAGTGAAAAGCTTTGTTTTTGATACTTTCTATATATGCCTTCTCTTTATGAGCATTTTGAAAACTATATATTCCACTCGGCAACTAAACTGTTGTCGCTTTCCCGCTCAATGTTCTATGCGTGGCCAGGGAAAACGAAGTAGGGATTTTGAGCAGAGGTGTAGCCGTCAACTGCTGACAATCACGAATGCATCTTTTTCCGTCTGAGGATAAGCTGTTGAACATATATATTATGATCCAAGTCAGTACTGGCCTAAAAATCCAATGACAGCTACAAGTGTATATGGAAATCGTGAATATTCGTACATAATCATCAGCAAGTAGTATTTGAGGATCATTCATAGAAGTGGACCTTTTAAATCTATTGGCAATCGTGCGAACATCTGGGTAGCTTTTATACTTACTGGTTCTTTCATTTGATTCGATTATCTCCTGTTGTTGGACGAATCGGATTTACAGATATCATGGATACCGGAGGCCTATTGATGGCGGTCGAAAGAAGACTCCTCGCAGTGTCGCTAGTTGTAAACGGTTACGGGACCCGTGCGTTCGACATTTAGCTTGACAGTGTTGAGCTACATCTTCATTTAACCATCATTTCCGTATCTCCAGTTTGAATTACGAGAGGGATTCACGACCATCCTACAGAGGTCTGTCGATGGCTTGCGCAAAACACGTCCAAACCATTGCAGTCGGGATGCTGGGTATATGAACCTATAAAGACATCCTTGTCGAAATCTAGATGTCAGTTGGAAGGAATCTGACTCATCATCAAGCGGTCTTACTCGGGCTGATTTTGTGCTATAGTAGGCTTTAATCAGATTAAGAAACTATTGGGAGTCCATCAACAAGCAAGATTTGTCATTAGGCCTCTCTGCCGACGGAATCAAATACGGTCTTGAAACAGGCCGTGGTGATCTGCTGATTCTGGTGTCGGTGTTCCAGTATGCGGCGCAGAATTAAAATGTGGTCAACGCATCATCTACCGGGACGAAACCTCCATTGGTTAGGACGAGTGCGTAATTTGTCCTCAATCAAAAGTCTGTTGAGGATTATCGTAAACACTTACGCGCCTATATCAATTAGAAACATGGACATGTCATCGCGCTTCTGTATCGACTAGATGATGGACAATGCCCAGTCAGTTGGGATAACTATTGTAGACCATACAGTCAAATAAAACTGATTAACTGATTCTGTCAAAACAGAACAGCCAATTTTGTAGACTTCCGTTGGGATACCATCCTCACCCAATGCGTTCCAACCTTTCAATCGTTGCAGGACCGTTTCCAGTTCAGAACTCTTATTTAGCTCGCGGTTACTATCGTATACATTTCCAATTCATAGATATAGATTTGCAGATAGACGTATAGGCGGATCCAGTATTTCTGAAGTCCGTGGATCGATTTCGCCAGTCATATCAGTTATCATTTGACCCGAGTTATCCCAAACCGTGGTGCAAGATAACTTATGTTTCCTATATGCTTTACGTAGTAGGTAGTAGAACTCGTGGGAGTTATCGGTGTTGGAAACTGATTCCATGGAGCCAACTAACTCGGTCTAATATTTCTGACGGTCCCATCTTTCTGGCCCCGTAGTCTGACGTCTCAATGAGCAGTAATTATCTGATTTGGACAGCCGGGCGATCCTAGCTTGAACCGAGAGACGGAGGGTCGTTGTGGAGATCCAGTCCTTTATCGGTACTACCCGTCGTTGCTAGTTCGCATTTCTTGCACTTTGTATGGCGTCCCTCAAGTGTGTCCACGGATTATCAGGCGAAGTCTGATTATCTCTCTTAACTGGAAGTTTGCTGTGAACGGTAGTTTGATTTCTGGTTCAAGAACCAGAAATCAATCTACCGTTCACTGATGTGGGTGTCGAAAACGAGCGTTTGTAACGACGAAGGGCTGTAATCAGCCAATATTACCAATCGTTCTCCGTTGTCGCAACTTTTATAGTAACAGTAACACTTTCGTTGAACGCTGCATGGGTTTCCGTGTTTGATAGTGCCGTAACATCGACATGTTCGGAAGGCAACCTCTTACTTCGAATCGGCAAGCGGAGATTGAAGCGAGCATGGACACGTGCACGCCTGATCCAGCTTCCGCACCTCGAAACGATCGGCTGTCAGATACTGAGGTGGCCCACGTTAATCGTAGGAAAATGTAGTCTATCTGGCCTGCCGTTCGCCATCGTTTGGATACTAGATTAGTAACCGCTGATGTGGGTGTCGAAAACGAGCGTTTGTAACGACGAAGGGCTGTAATCAGCCAATATTACCAATCGTTCTCCGTTGTCGCAACTTGTATAGTCCATATTTTCCAAGGAACTGCTCCGTGGTTTCATCGCATGGGCCAGTTTTGTTATTTCAGTCTTTGGCGACGAAGGTCAAATCCCTAGAAGATATCCTAGTCACCGTCGCTTGAAGGCGTTCATAGAACTCAGCCTTGACTGCTCTATCCGCTTGCAATGTTGGGGCATATACAGCAACCACAGAACTGTTTCCTAGGCTGCCTTTGAAGCAGGCTGTGGCAACCCGCTCTGAGACCCAAACGCTAAGAGAGTGCTATGTACCTGCTTTATCATGACCATTGCCACTCCAGGCTGCCCTGTGTTTGTTTGCGTACCACTCTGGGGGAGCACGTAATCAGCATCCTCTTGCGAAACCTAGATTTTTCTCGATCCAGACTCTGGCAGACAGGCAACTTCTACCTTATAGTCCCGCTATGTGCGTGCTACAAGTGCTTGAC